GGGAACGGGTGGAGTTTTGTGGGAACGTTATCATGGTTGGCACATTGATGCTCTGTGGGAACGGATGGAGTTTGTGGGAACGTTATCATGGTTGGCACATGGATGGTTTGTGGGAACGGATGGAGTTTGTGGGAACGGTATCATGGTTGGCACATGGATGCTCTGTGGGAACGGATGGAGTTTGTGGGAACGTTATCATGGTTGGCACATGGATGCTCTGTGGGAACGGATGGCCTGGAGCCGAAATGCCGGAGGCCCCATCGAATTCGGACCCGTGGCAGCCAAAAACCTTGAAAAACGCGGAGGGTTCGGCAACCCCTCAAGTGCGGCAGGACGCTGGGTCTGAGGGCTAAACCCTAAAGGCTCCTGACTTTGCAAAGTAGATGCTGGACGGCGTTCGAGCGCGGCGTGCACGGACTTCTGGCCCCGAGCGAAGGTACATGATGAGACGACCCTAAACCCTAAACCCTAAACCCTAAACCCTAAACCCTAAACCCTAAACCCTAAACCCTAAACCCTAAACCCTAAACCCTAAACCCTAAACCCTACCTGTCTGCGCTGGGTGCCCGAGGTTCCCCCGCATGGTTAGTGCAAAAAGGGGCGACGGCCGGAAAAGGGCGAGAGGTTCACTCGGGGTTTTTTCAGGCCTCCTAAAAGGGTTTCAGGTGGTTTTTGGGCTTTTTTTTGTATTCATATTAATACTAATATTAGTATTAAGACTAGTCGTAATATTCATATTAACTTCTTCCCAACCTGGCCCCCAACTAAGCTGTAAGCCTGCCCTTCAGACCAAAACTAACCTGAAGGCTTGAAGACGTATGGCTCCTAAATCTTTAGTCGTCTTCAGCCGTGCGTCCCGAGTTCTGGCGTGGAGTGCTAGGAATAAGGTGCCTAAAGGATCGGGGCCAAGTACAGTAGTAGGCAGGGCTGTAACTCGAGTAATCCCCATAAGGGTGCCCAGCAACCTATAACTTACTAAGTCCCCTGATGTTTCAAACGGGATCCTCGGAACCTAGCCGTCTTTCACTAGTGCAGACGATCCTGAACTCGAATCCCACCGAAACTGTAACACCTTAGTCCCGGACACCCTACAGCCTTCGGCCCCTAACCCCTAGACCCTAAACCCTAAACCCCTAAGCCCCTAAACCCTAAACCCTAAACCCCTAAACCCTAAAACTCCTAAAACCCTAAACCCCTAAACCCTAAACCCTACAAAACCCCGCAAGCCCTGTAGACACAGCTCCCTGGCAGGGGCCGATCCGAGCACCTACGAGATGATGCAGAAGGCAGTGAGTGATTTACTTTAAGGGTTTAGGGTTTAGGGTTTAGGGGTTTAGGGTTTAGGATTTAGGATTTACGGTTTAGGGTTGGGGGTTTAGGGTTTAGGGTTTCGGGTTTAGGGTTTAGGGCTTTGCGACTTTAAGGGTCAGCTTTCAAAAGGGCCCCTTTCAAGAGGGCCCCAAACCCTAAACCCCCAAACCCTAAACCCCAAGCCCTATGCTCCTAGGGTTTAGGGTTTAGGGCTTCTACAAAAGAGCCTTAAGGGTTTAGGGTTTAGGGTTTAGGGTTGAGGGTTTCTACAAAAGAGCCTTAAGAGCCCCAAGCCTGAGCCCTAAAACCGCTAGCCCATCGTTCGACGCTGATGCCATCGTTTGGGACTTCGGGGCTGCGGGCTGTTTAGGTATCCCCTAAACCCCTAAACCCTAAACACTAAAGTTTCGGGGTTTCTCAAAAAATAAAAGTTTCGGGGTTTGGAGTTGGGTTTTGTCCGTTTTCAGGTCAAGACCCTCCAGAAGCGGCTGATCTCCAAGACGGAGGAAGCTGTGGAGAAGGCATGGAGACGACGGGGGTTCCTAGGGTTTCTTGGGTTTAGGGGTGGAAAGGGTTTTTTGGGGATTGGAGCAGAGCCCTTAGAGAGACAGGGCATAACCCTAAACCCTAAACCCTAAATAAACATGTGGAGGTTTGGGGCGTAGGATTTTGGGGATCCGGCTCCATGGATTTGGGGCTTGGTGTGTGAGGCTCAGGATCGTCGGTGTTCAGCGTGTAGGGGTCCGGGATCTTCGGGTGTCGGCGTTTGGGCGTTTGAGGGATCTGCTTCGGGAATCGGATCTGGAGCTTTTCAGAGTCAGGGTGTAGTTTGTTTCTGATGATCATCGTTGTGATCATCATCATCATCATCATCATCGTCGTCATCGTCATCATCATCATCATCATCATCATCATCATTAGGATGATTAATATTAGACTCCTTCTTCTTGTGGTTATTGTCATTGTCACTGCTCTGATTGGGGTTTAGGGGCTCAGGCTTAGGGTTGTGACCTCGAGGTTGAGAGTTCAGGCTCCCAAGTTCTATGCTATGGTAGGGCTTTATGACGCCCTAGACCCTGAACCCTAAACCCTAAACCCTGAACCCTAAACCGTAAACCCTGAACTGTGAACCCTAAACCCTAAACCAGGTCGCGGGTTCGCGGCTTCAAGGTGTGACGTTACCAGCCTTGGGTTTCGGGTTCAGGCCCCGAGCCCTCTACTTGGAGGTGCGTGGGTAGTTATAAGTGGGGTTAGAAGTCCCAGAAAATTAGGTTACAGCTGACTATAGCTACCCTACTTATAACCCCACTTATAAACTACCCATGAACCTGCAACCATGAACTCCCTAGACCTAGAATAGCAAACCAATCCCATGGATCTTAGGGAAGCCGGAAGAGTACCCACCGCAGGATTTGGCCATCCAGGAGAAGGAGAAGTTGTACTTGGAGATGAGGCCGCAACTGTGCATTTAGGGTGAGAGTATTCCATCGTTCTTGGCTCGTTGCGAGTAAGTAAAGGCGGGTAATTAGAGTTGTTTTCCAGTGTGTGCGACTCTTGCCATTCCCTTTGTTGCTCTGGGCTTGGCCGTGCATATTGCCCTGTTGCTCGAGCTTCGTGTGAGTAGTAGTTGTACAAAGCAAGATGGAAGAAAACGTTACCGCCACGATGGTAAGACCTAGCGTTACGACTGTTCGGCCGAATGTTCATAGAACCCGCTAAGATCTTGCCAAGTAGAGTTCCCCTCGCAGTTATCGAGTCACACACCCCCAAGAGTAAGCCCCACCGACACAGGCAGTGGGCAACTGTTTCCATGCTCCCCATATAGGCAGTGACGAGCAAGGTGATGATGGCACGCTAGCAGACGGGATCGGTACGAAGTGATGACAATGCCGGCAGTTTCCGTGGTGACGGTTCTGATGGTGATGTGCGTGGTGCTGAGGCTGACGATGACGGTGATGAGCATGTAACAAGGTTGTTGATGGTAACGGTGGTGATGATGATCTCAATCCTGGAGCGAGCACGCTGGTGCCGATGCGAAAATCGGTTTGAGATATGTTTCCGTACATATGTATATATGTTGGTACATGCATGCCTTCGTGATCACCCAAGCCCTAGACCTATGCCATCCGCTCAGCTTAATCCCTCCACGCGCTCGAAGGCCCACAACCAAACAGCCTAAGCCCTAAACTCCGAAGTCGGAACCTCAAAGCCCCACACCTCCCAACCTCGAGCAATAACCACAAGAATATCGTGCCTAAACCCCAAACCGCAAGCCCAAACCCCTAAACCCCATACCGTACACCCCAAAACCCCTAAGCCTTAAACTCCAGACCCCTAAACCGTATAAATCTGGACCGTAGCCCCTAAACCCAAAACCCCTAGACCCCTAAACCCTAAACCACTAGACCGTAGCCCCTAAACCCTAAACCCCCAGACCGTAA